GACTATATTTTTTGACGACAGAGTTTGAACCACGTTTTAGTGATGCAGTGTACCTCATTAGCGGGTGTTGAGTGTCACTTTGAGAAGGACAAAATATGTTTCATATCGTTATCTACTGACAAGTGTATCCATCATCGTCATATTGAGTAGCCTACAGTAAAAGAACAAGCAAACAAAATAAGCTCCTACGTTGATCTGGGGGAAACAAGATTGAAAAAAATCCCTAATATCGACAATATAAATACACCGTTTTTCTCTTACTATCTGTCAACGAGTATTCTTAATTATCCCTTTGATTTAGCTCAATCGGGAAGCTCCGTCTTAGCATATTCGGAAATATTAACATGATTTTTAATTCACCGCTCAACTTGTATGCCTTTTGTCTGCATGTCAGCGCGTCGGCACCATTGGTCTCTGCTTTTTCCTTCTCGCATGTTGGTCATATTTCTATTTAGCCCAGTCAGTGTAGAAAAGTAGGATGTCACCCCTCTCTCTCTCCCTCTCTCCCTCTCCTTCTCTCTCTCTCTCTCTCTCTGCTGTGAAATGTATGGCCATCGTGACTGTAAGAATTGGCATATATATCACCTGTAAGTAGTGTTGACAAATACAAGTCTGCCCACACATGACTCGTATAGTTCATCGCGTCAAGTTTGTTTTTTTTCTTCTGAAGACTCGATGCACTTCACTGTATACACCTTTGAGTAAAACTGTTAATAACACCCTCACGACTAACTGTGTTTACGACAATTAATATTAATCATAAGACAAAATTTTCTGCTGAACTTGGATGTTTAAACATGCGCATCCAATTAATCTTCTCGTGAATTACATTTCCGGAAAAATATTATTTTCAAGCATAAATCAAATTGATTGTTAATTTATGAAAAAATAAATAAAGGTCCTATTTTCTCTACCTATCTTTCATTTCAAATCTTGCAAAATAGTGTTGGCCATAATCAACAATCTTGTCTGTAGACGAGAAGCAAAGATTTTTCTTAAAATGTGCTATAACTCATTCGGGCTGCTGCCGCATCCCTGGCGAGATTAGGCTAATCAATTGGCTTATTTCCCCCAGGGTTCGGACCAACGACTCGGCAATTGAAACCCACACTTAAGACTCTTAACAATCATGTCGCTAAATATTGAAACATATCGGACGCCATGTTTATTCCATGTATCAATTTCGTTTTGGATCCCTTGGCGCCGGAACTAGTTAACGCTATTAGCCTTGGTTTCGTATTTGACAGTGACGAGTTGTCGGGGCGATCGCCGGCTGGGAAAATATACGAATAGCATTTATTGTGATTAACAGCACTGTAATTGTAATCTATTTAATATTATTTGCAAATATTATTAGTTTTACAAATACGCCTTTTGATCTGTTTTTGAAGTGTGCAGTATGTTCATTTAAATCGTTTAAAAAGGAGAAGAAAATTGGGATTTCTTGACTCCATTGTTCTCGGACGGAAAAGATGAAGTATTATTATTTGAATTGAGTTCATATTAGACATGGAATGACAACTGTATGAGAAACTAAAAACTGTGTTTCTCATCTAACCTTTTGACAAAAAATAACAGAAATGAGCCTTTTGTAGAATCTTAATGCAGGTGCATGCGCAGTTGAATAAAAGAAACATTTTAACAACACGCTCTCACTGTTTGTTTTCTTATTAACTCCACGAATCATGAATTTTGATATGAATGTCGCTTTTGGAAAGTTTGACAGGGCTACAAACGAGGCAGAAAACACACAAAACAAATGACGTTATAACGTATTCATTTTCCTGTCAAATTTTTAGCAAATATCCTTTCCCCTTTTTGTCTTTCAAATAAAACAAAAACTGTGAGCATTTCATATGACTTCATGTATTTCGTGAATTTGGTTGAATTCTATACTATTTATGCAACCTCACTGTCACGATTTTCTGCCTAAATAGTTCTAAATTAACCCCGGTGTCCCTTTGTTTTCCTTTTTTTAAACTCTTTTGATTAAATATCCTTTTTATTGCCCCATAAAATGAGAGATATCTTCAATATTGTTCCATTACTACGAGATGACGTCAAACTCGTTTATTGAATACGACCAATCTTTCCAGCATAATGATGGAACTATTTTCAAATTTATTTGATTTTCATTACCTGTTTTGGGAGGAAATGTATTGAGAGCGATTTATTTATTTCCTTAACCCAAATAATGTTCCATTTGTCTCGCTTCTTTGTTGTACTTTATTTACACATTAATATGTTTTTTCCAAAAATATAATTCTATATTTAGTTCAAATCTTTATATAAATAGCAGAATTATAAAGATCGAAACGCTTAATATGGATTAATAATATGTTCGATCATTATCCGTACGAAAAAAGAATAACCTTGTGTGTGAGGCGGGGGTGGGGGGTGGCGATTTGTAAATGTTTTGGTCGGATTATGATCATCATTTGAAAGTTGAAAGTTCCAGTTCGTAATTTCGTTTCGGTTAATATAATTTCGTTGGCACTATGTTGGCAAAAGGGACACATGCAAAAAAAAAACAAAAAAAAACGGAACGCAAAAAAAGGTTTGATTTTAATTGTACAGGTTAGGTTTCTTCTTATTGAGAATACTCATTTCCCACAGTGTATCGCGTATGCATAAACAATACGACTATTCATTATTCATCATGTACTTTTTTTTAAAAATTTAATTTCTCGCAATAACAATTATGCAATTAGGTCGTCATCAACATCAAAGATGAGGGTTCACACGAGATCCAAAAGATGGCGACAACCCCTCTAAACAAACAGGACTAATTATCAATAACACCGCCAAATAACTGAACAACATTAATGAAATAAATATGATTTTTATGGTCGCAGAAAAAATATTAAAATAATTGATGCAACCACAAAGATTAGAGACAATGGCCTTTTTAAAACGATAATAATGATTAAAAGTCATTATTATTCTCTATTAGCGCGTAGTTGATTAGTTAGACCTGTTTTAAAGGCAATTCCATTGTTATGTTATTACTCTATTTAAACAAATGGTGGAAAATTGCTGATTTATAGACAATAATCTGGATTTCTAAAATGGTGATTAAAAGCCACTGGGATCAGAATGAAAGCGGCACTACTTTCATTTTAGTCAATGTTTTGGTCCTTTTCTTGAGTATTAGCCTTCCATGGTTGATTTATGATTTTTAATTTTGCTTTCCAAATGGCATAAGATTAAGTCAAGGAGATTTTGGTCACTATTTGTGGTAATGTGGGCTCTTTTTTTCCCAAAAGTTCTTGATTTATCGAAGTTTTCTTGATTTCTCAAATGATGATTAAAACCACAGAATTCAGTACAAAGTTAACCATTTCAGTTTTTAGTCATTTTGGTCTTTATGTGGTTGGTACCCTTTAAGAGCGCTTGACTTTATTTGATTTAGTGTTTGGGACGTTTCCCCGGGGTGCTATGTATACGAAGACTGATTAATGACAACGTTCGAGGAAGAGTTGCTTTAATAGAAATATATTTCGAAAAATGAGATGACTATTTTATTTTCTTATTCCAGAATTAGTGGGTTTTTTTTAAATATTATTTATTATTTTTAAAAGATGGGTCAATACATGTTTGAATATTGTTGTGCTTTATTTTCTTTATTGCTTTGAAATGCCTTGCTGTAGGTAATGCAATGTCGTTCACTTGTTCCGCGAATTATTTATGTGAATAATAAAAAAAACAGTAGGACTGTACCACACACAAAAATAAATAATCATGCAACAGAAACACATGGAGACAACTACACGGACAACAGTGAAACCAAACACATGGAAATCACATACATTGTAATCAATTAGATAGATGCCACTGTTCTCCAATCTCGCCATGTATATTTCACTAAAATTTGATAACCAATTAAAACGCTGTGAAATATTTATTTAAGTTTTTTCGACGACCTCTGTGTTGATTGGTATTAAAAATAAAGGCGGATGCGTCTAGCCGTACGGATGGGGCGGAAAACTGAGCTCCCGTGTAGAAATTGGCGTGAACGTTAAAGAACCCTTGACAGTTGGAATTCGAAATAACGCCGTTGTCCGGGCAAAATTCTCCTCAAAGCACACTGTATGGCGTATGCCCGTCTTCATAAGCCCAGTGAGTGCAGAAAAGTAGGACGTTAAAACCCATTTCATTAAAAATAAAGCATATTTTGAGAAGGATGTGATATAGAAGGGGGGTGGGCACTCGACAATATACCTTGACTTGTTGAGCTGTCTAACCAGACCAACAATAAATCTATCTCAAAGTCTATTAAAGTCAACAGTTTGTCTTCACACCATATAATTATTTTATCACTGGTTAATACAATAATACAAAATGTAAGAAGAGGACTCGATCATCAACAACCGCGTCCTTGTATACCAAAAACTAAGCCAATCTGTTTCCATGGCAACACAAAACATCCGAAAAATTTCGAATTAGCAAATGGCACATCTAGTATAATAGATTGATGTGTATACACACAATTCCATATAGGTATCTTAAACGGTTTATATGATATGCTCCGGAAACCAAATCAAGATGCACTGATGGACTGGGCCCATTTCAATACCCCTTGATGCATTTGAGAAATTCTATCTTTTTCTTATCTCTTCTGTGGATAAATCATAGAATCCGTGTTAATTATTGTTTACCTCTCTTATATTTATAATAGACCATTACACGTTATCTCATTTCCAGTTTACTCACGAAGATGGTATTGATGTTGATCGAATTGGTTAAATATTTTCGACACAATAGAAAAAACCCACAATTTTCTTTTTTTCTTTTATTTTGCTGTGGATAAATCATAGAATCCATGTTATTTATATTATTTATCTCTCTCATAGTCATAATAAACTATGAGCGAATTCATTCTATATACATATTATCCAATTTTCAGTGTACTCACGCAGATGGTATTGATATTGAACAAATTTGTTTGGGGTTCTTTTTTTCGGCACATTAAAAAATAATATTTTTATTTTTGTCTTCAGGTATCCTCTATTAATCGTGTTTTACGGAATCTCACCTGTGACAACCAGAAGATAATGGGCCAAGGGTCGATGTATGATAAATTAGGATTATTAAACGGACAAAGTTGGCCACGCCCTAACCACCCCTGGTACTCTCCCGGTATGTCGATGGGTGGATTAGGACATCCTGGTGGTTACCCCGCCCCTGCACATCCTACAAGTGGTATGATGATGGAAAAGAAAATGAAATGTAAGTAATAACGCTTTATTTAAATAAAAAACTTTTTTTTAACCTTTTAGTGTAGTTTCAACAAGATGGTATTTATTCATTTGAGGAAATAGAGTAATTTTGATTCGGCCACAAAATTGTGAGATCTTATAATAGGTTGGGGTTTGTTTGGGTTTTTTTTAAAATAAATCGTAAAATCATTTCAGCCAGTTTGTTGTTTTGGTTAGAATATTGTTTTAGCAAAGAGACACAACGAAATATTTGAGATATAAATTGTGTGTTATTTTATCACGAAACAAAACACCGATATGTCTGTCTTGTTGTCTTTTCTTTGGGAATTACCCTTATCAAAGTTTTCAAAACATTGCTAAGCAACCAGTAATTCATTGCCTTGCCACATTTGAGTAGTGCACGAACAAAATCTTTAGTTTGTACTTTTAGTCCAATAACACTTCAAAGAAACCAAAATATTATTCCTTCATTTCTCCCTTCCTTTTGTCATTAATTAGTTTAACGAATATCAATGAAAATCGTTTTAGTTTTAGGTCTTTTTCTTCGCTTCTAAATTATTTGAGATGAGCGTTCACTCGTCTAGGCCTATTAGTTAATGATGTAATCACCACTTAGCCACATTAGTCTTCAATTATACCGCTAGGAATACTTTCGTCTGCGGAAATGGTTCACTTCCGGTCTCCTGCAAGCAGACGTCAAATCTCATCCTGGCGGAAGCTCAACGCGCATGCCCCGTTACTGATTTTGAGCGACGCGTATTGGATCTGATCTCCCGTTTTTGTTCGAATTCGGCGACTGATCTTGTTAAATTTGACTACAGCGGTATGTAACAACACGGGGGTTTTCAAGTTGAGCAAGTATAAACTACACTCTATTAATACTATTGCTAAACACCGAACAACTGCCTTTTCAGACGAATCACAATTGGGTATTTTTGTATTTGAGTCGAATGAGGTTTGAAGTGGCTAGTAAGACCCTCATCCATTGTTCAGTGTCGTCACTATGTCTGGCTGCCTATTCACTCACCCCCTCTTAATCCGCGATCGTATAAATAGGACTGAAAAATGAGCGATTATACGAGCGAGCTTTAAGTAGCTTTCTACCGTTTCTCAATACACTTTGACTTGGACCAAACTATCCAAGTATTGTTAAGAATATAAATATGTTTAGTAGCGTTCAACACTTAATCGTTTATCTGAATGACTTTAGAGAAGAACGCCAATCGTAAAGCAGTACTTTTTGCAAAAAGCCACGCTCTTTCTAAGTTTCTTTTTTATTGATAATGACCCGAGCGACATCAGCACAATTCTTTTAGATCAACGGTATGGAAAGGGGACATAGAGTTAACGACATTTCAAAAGGCGATTGAAAATGATCGGAAAAATATTCTTCTTTTGTGAAAATCAAGCGTTACAGAGTGCAAAACTGTTTTGAAATCAAAAATTGATTTATTGCTTCGGATTTTATCTTTGCCTTTTTCCCGTTAATGTTTTGTAAGAAGCGAATAATGAAATAGAGAGATACGGCCAAGTATTATAGAATTATCAGCCATTTGGTGGAATACACCATTTATGTCCTATCTTAATGCTCCGTCATTCTATTGTTCACTTTTTACGATTCCGTAACGCAAGTGATTTATTGGTTTGTAAACGACACAATTTACGAAAACCATTTCCGCTGGAGACGTAAGGTACGTTAAGTACACGAAAGATTTGAATAAAAATAGGTGACGGTTGAAGTTGTGCCGCTCACTGTCAGCAAACGTAACTCCTTATCAGATGCATTAAAATGTTTTAGAGCTGGTCTTTCATTGCTCCTGGCGATTTATTGAATTTCATAAATTCTTATCTGATTGAGTTATCCGAATGTTAAATGTAAAAAGCGTCGATCGTATAACAGAAACATTTTGAAACATCCCAATAGATAACTTTTTTGATTGGTATTTAGTAACTGAACATATTTAAACAGTGTATAATAGAAACATTTTGAAACATACCTTTTTTGATAGGTATTTAGTAACTGAACATATTTAAACAGAGTATAATATTATGGATACAATTAATGAGTTTATTAATATGCGATGTTTTGATTAGGATACTTTCGTCTTTATCCAGTAAATCCCAATAGACGTTTTGTCCAAGAGTTAATTTTATACTGATTACATGAAATAATATAATAAAATCTAAATTGAAATAAAAAGTAAAACGTAGCAACTATAATTAAAGCTGTGCATGCATCCGGAACCATAACCACGATTCATATTGATACAAATTGGAAATGAAGCAAATTTCTTAACAATTTTTTTCAAATATGTAGGTGGTAGATATTTTAAAAGCTTTTATCTATGAATTAAAACTTCAGTTAGAAATCCATTTAAAGTCCGCTGTATTTTTTTAAACTACTTCGCGGAAATTTCCATGTATGAAAGAACCAAGAAGTTAATGATTTTCTATGAATAGCTATAATTATTTTTCACATATATATGTGAAATAAATATGATTAGTCGACACGGTAGATCAGCTCACCAGGTTTTTTTTATTTTGGGACAATTCCACATTAACTATCTTTAGTACCTGGTTATTATCCTCGCTAGCTGTTCAAGAAACTTAAGTTCATCTCGTGAAGGTATTTTCCCGCTCCCCGCTGTGGTCTAAAAGCACGCCATATTCTTTATAAAAGCCTTCGTGCCGGGAGCCTATTAGTTGTCTATTTTCCCAACCAGTAATTTATTTGAGAATATAGTGTCTCAAGTCTTCTCCTCCTTACAACTGAAACTAGTAATTATTGCCTGATTGTTTAGAGTTCAATACGCCGACTCCTTCAACCCCCAGACGGATACATCAGTAATATGGATATTATGTATATTGTGGAATGTCGCTGCGCAGAGGAAACTAAACGGAATACGATGTACCCTGCTCTTAATGTTTTCTACCCAAACAACCCCTAGGGGTCACGACCCTATAATTATTTACAATAATACTCTACTTAAGATGCTAAACCTAAATCGTTATTTCTTGGCAACAATGGTGGTAATAATATGCAAAATAAAGATAAATCCTTTCGTTTCAGACAAACAATGAAATATGATAATGGAATTTGTATTTTCCTAGAGTACGTTATTCGTCTTGTACTTAAACACTTACCGTGAATATAACGATTATAAATTATTTATGTGCTTTAATACTGATGAATTCCTCTTTAAGTACGAGACGTGCTGATTAATTTGCTTAATCTATTACACTTGTCCGTGCTCAATGGCCACATGTCACGTGATGATGGCATTAAAGGATTGAGCATTACACGTGCGCTCGCGCATTAAAGAAAATTGTCGTCCACGCAATCATTCCATCAGTTGTTTAATTTTCGCCAAAAACACAAAACATGGCAACCACAAAGCCCACAGACTGGCCTAGGTCGTGTTATATCTTGTCCGCGAGACGAATTTAGATTCGTGCACGTGTACTGTGTAAATTGGCCGTTTATGTATCAGGCGCGTTAATTACGAGCCCAAATTACCTCCTGCTAACAGCCGTATGCGGCAGAACGCATGATGTGACCCCGGTGACGTTTCTCGGAGCTCATAACACTAACTGCTGTCATCATCCGCCAACCATATTTACCGAGCAGTAGCGATTGCAATAATTTACACCATTTCTAATATTACAGAGAACAATCACCCGGCCCACCCTTTAACCCCTTTCTATTACATAAACAACGCTGGTTTGCAGACTTTAATGCATGTCGCCCAAGTGAAGCAAACCAACCGCCTATTCATGGCTAAGATAAAACATATAACATGAACGCACGTCTTTTTTCAGTAATCCGATCATCGCTGTGTCGTTTTAAACCATTATTACATCACACAACTTATAGTTTAATTGGCCAATTGAGAAGGAAACGGGATCCAAATATGGCGGCCACAATTACGGGTATAAAAGACTGTAAGATTACAAGGCATATAATGATAGTGTAATTAAAGGCTAGCTTTACTTGATTGACGTTTTTTGCTCTTTACAGACAACGAAAATGGCAGCGGGGGATCTCCCGGAAGTCCGAGTGACGGACCGAAGAATGGAGAAAACGATGAACAAATGAGGATGAGATTAAAAAGAAAATTACAGAGAAACAGAACTTCATTCACTGCCTCCCAGATAGAATCGCTGGAAAAAGGTGCGGGGATTCTTTCTTTTATCTTCCTTTATCGATTTCACTCACAGAATAAGATGCTTTGTATAAATGGATAACTTGCTGTGTATCGTAATTTCATGTATTCTTGAAAACTAGGAAATATATTTGGCCTATTTTTGTTCAAGTAGCTATTTCCTTTTCATTAATTATTATGAAATCTGATAAATTAATTTAAAGGAAAGCAAATATTTTCTTATTTCTTGTACATTGTGTTTTATACGTTATTGAAGTACTATAATCTTTAAGTAGCATTAAGTAACTGGAGAGAATAATAAACTATAACACATACTATAATCTTTAAGTAGCATTTAGTAACTGGAGAGAATAATAAACTATAACACATACTATAATCTTTAAGTAGCATTAAGTAACTGGAGAGAATAATAAACTATAACACATACTATAATCTTTAAGTAGCATTTAGTAACTGGAGAGAATAATAAACTATAACACATACTATAATCTTTAAGTAGCATTAAGTAACTGGAGAGAATAATAAACTATAACACATACTATAATCTTTAAGTAGCATTTAGTAACTGGACAGAGTCATACACTATATATAACACATAATATAATCATTTAGTAGCGTTTAGTAATTGGATAGAGTAATAAACTATAACACATACTATAATCTTGTAGTAACTGGATAGAGTAAAAAACTATAACACATACTATAATATTTTAGTAAAGTTTAGTAACTAGATAGGGTAATAAACTATAACACATAGCTAATATAGCAATACACATGTCATGTAAACCAAATATTTATAGACAAACTATAACAACAAACCCAAAACTATACGTATAAACAACAAATTGAAACGCTTGTGATTTTTAATGAGTCGTCTTATTATATTCCTTTTATATTAAATTTCAGAATTTGAAAGAACTCATTACCCAGATGTATTTGCCCGGGAAAGATTAGCACAAAAGATTGATTTACCGGAAGCAAGAATACAGGTCAGTTATTTTCTCAATATTTTTTAATAAAGGGCAGTGTCTAGTCGTTCAGATGGGACAAAAGAACGATGACCCATGTACACATTGGCGTGCACGTAAAAAGAACTATCGACAGTTGGAATTCGATATAAGAGTAGGTCGTAGTGCTGATGTCCGCGCAAAATTTCCCTCATAGCGTATTTCCGTCTTCACGCCAAGTCGATGCAGAAAAGTAGGACGTTAAACCCCATTTCATTTCATGACATTTTTTGATATTGTTTTTTTTTAATAACGTATTTTAACAGTGAAAATATATGATAATATAATATTTTGTGTCTGTTCGCTTCGTATGTGAAATATTTTTTAAATTTCGATTAAAATTCTTTTAGGTTTGGTTTTCTAATCGAAGAGCAAAATGGCGGCGTGAAGAGAAATTAAGAAGTCAGAGACGAGAAGTTGTGAATGGAGCAACACGTTTACCAATCAACAGTAGTTTTACAAATAATATGTATCCTTCCATACATCAACCAATCGCTTCCATGACAGAAACTTATAGGTAACGTATTTATAGCCACATACTATTAATATTAAAATTAGTCCAGAGAGCAATTATTCAGTTAAACCAAACCACTACATCCGGAATTCATACAACTTCCGGTCGTTCTGCAGTTAAACATAGGACCACTGGACTGGATAGAGTCAGTAATATGAACAATTAATGAAAATTGATTTGAACAGCTTTGATAATAACTTACTATTTTCATTTCGTTATTTTTTTCAGTTCCATTCCACAAGTTCCAAGTTATTCATTCTCCAACTCATTTGCAACCAACCCAGCATGCCTTCAATCATCTAGTTCCGGTTCTTATTCGTGTATGCTGCCAGGTACGTCCTTATAGATTTCTATAAACTTTACAATTTGAATTTCAAAATGGCAATCCGTGGCGGGTTATGGTTGGGGAGGGGTCGGGGCGGGGGCGTGAAAAGTGACCGAATTTCAATTTTCAGCACATTGTTATGTTTGGGTGGCTGGAGGGAGGTAGTTAAGATTGACCTAATTTCATCCCTACAAGGTTTTTTTCTACAATGTTGTATTCATGTTCTATGCAGTAAGAAAGGAGGGAGGGGTTAAATAGGTCTGGATAAACTTGACATTGATCGATACCCGCTTCTCGCTCATTTATTATATTCTCGTTATTTCCCGTGTGAACACAATAAAAGTATATATTTAAATACATGTTACGTGTTTTGCAAATATATGCATATATTTTATTGTTGTACTATTAATACCATACATAAAGTATACTCGATCCAAATTTGAAATTAATTTTTTTTTTATCCTTTTGTCTTTAATCTATTTAAAGAAGTATATATTGATATGAATATTAATTTATTTTGATAAAAAAGAAAATATGTTTTTTTTATGTCTTTCAGATTATTCGTCACGAAATTACGATGCTTTATCGCTTAGCAACTACTCAAGGCCGGCATGTAACCCTGGTAACAGCCACATGCCAAGTCATATGAACAATAATTCTGCCTCAACTGGTATGTATAGATATTAATATTATTTCAACATTTAAAATTATGTTGTCACAAATGAAATTTTTGTTAGAATTCTAAGTCCCCTAATACATTTTGAACACTGGTCAGTCTCATAAAACAAAATGTTTATCATTTCTTATATTTTATTTTATGTTCCTTGGGAGATGCTAATTGTAGGCCGATTGGGGATGTTCGGGTATTTCCGGGGTCCACAATGGCCGCTTTATATAAACGAGTATTTGGGGGAATACTAACCCTAACCCTAATCCTTTCTAGAATACTGAACTTGGATCCAATTTACCATTGTGGACTCCGGAAATTCGCGAACCTCCCCAACCGACCTACAATTAACATCTCCCATGTTTTTGCAAGATACGCAATGGCGGCCCATAAAATATTTTTTAAACGAAACGAAATTTAAATTGATCTATATTTTAATCATAATGTCATTTCATTTCGTGATAATTAAGATATAAATTTAGTTTGGGCTAATTTTAAGTCTCCTTTTTTTACCAAAAAGAATTAGATCTTTTTTTCCAACCACCCCCCTTTTACTCCAGTCTGACGTGTCTGTATTCGATCGACACTGTACCTCTCATAAACATGTCTAAGTTAAAGCCATGGATTAAATTACTCATCGGTATAATTTGTTATATTCTGATATATGAATCAAGATGAACATAAATCACACAATCATGTTAAATGGTTAACAATCCGGATCTACTAGATTCCCTATTTACAGACATTGCCCGGCTCGCGCTTTATCATTTTCTCATCTCCGCTTATCACTGCGATCGATCAGGCTTTCTTCACTCAAAACTCTGGGTCCAAAATCTTTGAAAAAAGTATCGCTTTTAAGAGGTCACTCATTAAAAAATATACCTATTATGCAAAATCTAATTAGGCAATGCCTTAACATATAATCATACAAATTATTTTGATATTGGTTGGTACCCTTCCATTAATGATCGATTTTTGAGCTTCTTCTTGGCGTAACAGTTTCTGTCTTATGACAAGAAGAGTCTCGGACAGGAAGGGTAGTCTCGGACAGGATGGGTAGTCTCGGATAGGATGGGTAGTCGTTAGTTTGCATTACAATTACTGTTGTTATTATTTGGTTACATAAAGCTGGCAATTCTGGGGAACTTCTTATTAATGTAGACCAACATTTAAGACATATGCGAGACAAAATTAAGATCCATTTTACTGTCCAATTAGACATTTGTCAACATGGGGAACCCCTTTTGTCAATCCACCCGGACCAATAAAATATATATATAATCGTGTTATGAGCTTGTTCTGTCAGTGTCATGTACACAAAAGTAGACAAAAAAGTGAAATAGTGGCACAGGTTGGTGACAGTTAAATGACATCGGGGTGACAAGTACACGGCTAGTTAGCACGTGATAACATGTAGTAGCATCTCTACTTAATATGGTCAAGGTAAAGAGGGCAAGGAATATTAACCATTGTTTCGTATCAAAAACTTCTGTTTCCTACCCACCTTTAACTCGCCTGATAAAAATAAAAAATCAAACTTAAGAGAAAATTAACACGAAACGAAACTTTTTTTAAAAGTTAGTGGTCAGTTTAAATCATAAATGAAGTGAAATGAAATAAAATGGGGTTTAACGTCTCTGCATCCACTGGGCTAATGAATACAGGTTTAAATGATAAAGTAGCCATAATATTATTAATATAAAATAATCAACAACAACCACGTCTAGTCTTCATTATATTATGGTCATCTGAAAAAATAATTAATCTTACAAATCTCCATATTTTCTCAATGCAACTTTTGAAATCTCTAATTCTTAAATAAGTTGGCAGTCAAAATAAAGTTTGTGACGTTATAGAAAGAATATTGCAAGTAGCAGTCCTTAAACAGTTCGAACTTCTAAATTATTTTCAAGAAAAAAAAATCGCGATCCTTTACGGTCTCCATTCGATCTCATAAAAATATAGATCCTATTTCGTTTTTTTATAGTTCAAAAGTTTATTTTGCTCGTCTTCACTACACTAGGTCGAAAGTATAAAAAAAAACGAAACGAAATATAGATCTGTAATTTAATCCGATTGGGTCTTCATTGAGAAATAAACAATAGAATTAAACTAGTTATTATAAAATTAAGTTTTGAATATTCAACTCTATGCCCTCTAAACTTACACTTTAATAATAGTTAATGAGGGGAATTAAGCGCAAGACATGACTGACCGGCAAGACATAGAAAATGTCGCCTCATTAAACTGTCTTGACGCCGCAAAATCTTGGGATTATGTCATTTTCCTCGACCTAAGTGGCAATGTCAGTGTCAAGCTTGAGAGCGGGTATAATAATGAATTATTGCCTTCTTCTTATGAATAAGTAATAATATAAGCAGATAAATACTAGAATACGATTTATAAGTTTAACTATAGGGTTCAGGTGGTTGCTCGGCTGTAGTACTTGGGGAAATTAATTTATCAACTGGTTTCTGGAAAACAGTTGCTTTCTAAAAGGAATTTAATACATAATTCGTTTCGCTTTATGAACCTATTTCAAAATAAAACGAAACGAAATAAATCAGTATTTGTTTAAACAAGTCAAAGTATTTTTAAAGTTATTCTCTCTTCTGTTGCAGGTCTCATATCTCCTGGCGTATCTGTACCAATCCAAGTTCCAGGCGGCCCTCAACAGGACTTGGGTGCCCATCATATGACATCAATGACGTCACAATATTGGCCTAGAATTCAGTGATATTCTCAGAAACTATTGACAGAAAAACAATATTAATTCTATCAAAAAGGGAGAATGGACAATGTCTCGCGCTTTCAGCAGCGAGGATGCGACCTTGTTCTCGATTAAATGTTCGATTGCTGCGGTATAATAAAAAAAACACTTGATGAAAAAATATACCAATACTGAGATTATCCAGACGTTTACGACTGCTTATAGTAGTTAAAAGTGTGGTATATATGGACATCATATCATTAACTTTGTCGGTTAGCATATCATCAAAATATCTCGTGTGTTCAATGTCATATTCTGTGTTTTTATATGTGATAAAAGCGACTTTATGCTGGATACTCGAACTAAGGGGTAAATCGAAAGTAGGCTAAATGAAAGACTATGCTTACCGCATCAAAAGTGCAACTCGTGTTTCAGTGTAGAAGAATGAATTCTAAGTGCTCAATCCGTTTTCTGCAAGTGCTCAGCAAGAAACAGCAGATTAATGATATTAGTATAAATGTTGCAACAATGTTGAATGGAACTAGTATAATTAATAAAAACTACTAAAAGCTCAGGCAGCAAAATGAACCATATTTAAAATCAAAAGTGGAAGTAATGTCAGTGAAGAGTAAAGTTGCGCGGTGCGAACGAAGAACTGCGTGTGATCGTTAGGAACAGTGCAATCAAGACATTACTAAATTAGCTGTAAACTCTTTAACACATTGTAATTTCTGTAATGAATTTTGATTTCCTGTATATTGTAATATATACATAGACATTGTAATGTGTTTAATTTGGGCAATGAATCTACCTCTGTTCGAACAAAACAATAATACAAAACCTCTAGATCTCCCTCCTAAACAAGTTGTTTCACTTTAAAATGGAATCCAGAACTTTGTTCAGTTAGCTTTATTCCAAATTGATTATTAATGGGAATATTGAAAACATATCATTATACGAACAAAGAATTCGGAAAACTTATAAAACACTATTTCAATGAATCCTTGTCTCGTTGTTTTGTCCAATTGTTGTGTGTACATTTTTGTCATAGTCCCAAATTATTATCTAAATAATGTAATTTATTTCTTTTAATGTTTGGAAATTGTAGATTGTATAAAAAAAAGTCTACCCTTTTCAATAATCAGTTTATTTAATTTTTTTTTTTCAAATTGTTAATTTCAACCATGATTCATAAATTTCATAAACGTTTTGAAAAATATTATTTTATCAAAGAGCAATGTTGTTAAATCTGAAAATGTTTTCTTTCTGCAATATTTTTTAAATACCCCATTACTCACTGCCCCACCCCTACAATCACAGATTTAAGGCTTTTTTGCTTAGTTCATGAATGAAAAAAATGTGGCGGTTGTGGGGTAAAGCTCAAGACGAGAAGGACTGTTACCGTCCCTTGCGGGTACCAAATGGTGCAATAATATTATCAATGCTCCTTGGCAGCCTTGAAATTCATAATTAGCTAGTTAATTAAAAGGACTGCTCGCTCACATATTGGTAAATTTCAGCGCCATGCCATACGGAGTTTGATATTATGTTAATTTCTTAGATATATAACTATAAATAAATATATATTATTATGACTATTAATTATTATTCTGGATTTTTTTTTAGTTAAGATATTAAATGAAAATGGATAACAAAAAAAAACGTGTACAGTTGATTAGTTTTAATTTAACTTAGATAAATATTATAAATAGTCTCATCTTATCATGTACAAAATTAAATTTAACAAGGGGCGGGGACTAAACAAGAACAGGATACAAATTCAATTCATCACTATCTCGCCATCAAGGTACTTTGTTTTACTAGTTCCGTAAATTGTAGTGGTTAGTTGAATTCGGATCCAGGACTTGGTCCCCACTTATAAGACAAGCGAGGACCGGGGACTAAACAAGAACAGGATTCAAATCCAATCCATCACGATCTCTAGACATCAAGGTACTTTGGTTTAGTAGTTCCGCAAATTGTAGTCGTTAGTTGAATTATGATCCAGGACTTGGTCCTCGCTTATAAGTCAAGCAAGAGCTGGGGATTAAACAAGATCCAAATCCAATCCATCACTATCTCTACATCAAGGTACTTTGGTTTAGTAGTTCCGCAAATTGTAGTGGTTAGTTGAATTAGGATCCAGATCTTGGTCCTCACTTATAAGTCAATCATGGGGTGGCCCACACCTAAGCCATGACCCGGTTCCCAGCGAAAACAAACAGGCCCCAGCTTGTTCTGCATTAATTGATTCCAAAAACTGCATCCAATATTTGTACCGCGGTACCTCTCAAGGAGTGATTTTTTATCCTCTCTTTTATACACAAAAGCACAAGGGAAGGTGTAAGCTATGTGAAGTTCTAAATTAAATGAGAAGTGACACCGAGTGGTCTAGAATGGTTGTCGAAAGGTATTGTTTAGCTGTCGTCACTATATAGATCAGTTTGGGCAACCGTAACTTTTCTCCAATAATTAATCCCCTATAGAGAATACAAAGATTATTAACGGGTGTTGTGCACGATGCAGTGTGTACCCTTTTTTGGAACATGTGACGATAATTTTATTTATCAACCCCCAATAAAATTGTATGGGAACCGGGATTTGGGGCGTTCACCGGGGAGTTTTTTTTATCGTCGTGTACTGCCTTTTATATATTTTTAACACACAATTCGTGACCATTGTGACATGAAAGATATAAACACATTATGAGAGAAAAAAGGGAGAAAACTGTAAAAAGACCCTTTATAGATCTCATATCACACATTTTACTTGAAATAAAATCCTAAAAATATATATTACTTATTTCTTTTTATTCATTAAGGAACTGGATTTGAAATTAACCGGGTTAATGAAACGGAAATTAGCCATGCAGTGTGCTATGGGGTAAATTACAGATTGGATTTTACATGAAACGAAATGGGGTCGAATATAGCTACTTTTCTGCACCAACTGGGATAATGATGACTGGCACTCGCCATGCTGTGAGAGACGTTTTGCCTTGATAGCGACATACTCTTATTTAGATTTCCAGCTGTTAAGGGATTATTAATGAAATGAAATGGGGTTTAAGTCCTACTGTTCTGCTCCGACTGGGCTAATGAAGCCGGGCATACGCCATACAGTATGCTATGAGGGAAATATTGCCCGGACAGCGGCATTACGGCCTACTCTTATATTGAATTCCAACTGTCAAGTGGTCTTTTACGTGCACGCTAATGTGTACACGGGGCCTCGGTTTTTCGTCCCATCCGAACGACTATATGCTTCCCTAGCTATGCCCCCAGTCCTGCACCACTGACAAGGAGGAACCACGCGTGAAAATTCCCGTTGCACCAACGCAGGGATAACCCTGGAACTCCAGATTAGCGAGCCAACGTCTTACTCACTGAGCCAACGTTGCTCCAGTTAAGGGATTTTAACGTGTTACAGATCTCTTTAGACGCTTTACCCTGTCATGTCCCCCTTTCTTCACCAAAGAGCTACGGTGACTAAGTGGTTAAGAGACTGGCTCGCTAGCCTGGGGGTCGCAGGTTCGATCCCAGCATTGGCCGAGAAAGTTCATCAGTATTTTCCGACGTAGTTTCCCCTTGTTACTGGTGAGGGCGAAGGGCCTGACAAGGACAGCTGTCTAGTCCTTCGGATGGGATGAAAAACCGAGGTCCCTTGGCAGTTGGAATTCATACTGCCGCTGTCCGAGCAAAATTTTCCTCATTGCAAACTGTATGGCTATGCCTGTCTTCATTAGCCCAGTTTAGGAGCAGAACAGTAGGACGTTAAACCCCATTTCATTTCATTTCGCATTCTCTATAAAATAAAACCTGTCGTTCAATAATGTTATTGGAAAGAAACATGTAAATTGAAAATGAAAAACATTCTGCTGTGAATGAAAATGAAAAAGATTATGCTGTGACTAAATATCATATGATTGTTTTGGGAATCTTCATAAATTCTGCATTTCAAATTTAATAGAACTATGTCGATTTATTTGTATATCCAACACAGACAACATAAGCAATTTGATAAACGACTTTGATATTGTTTTGATAATCGAGGTGAAGAACACGTGGAACAATGGATGACTAACTGGGAATATGTATCATGCATATATCAATGACACTATTATAAATTCTTACTCAAAGAAAAGAAAACAAATTCTGGTGGATTATTGTTAAATTTTGCCTTAAAGATGGATTGTGTAAAAATATCATTGTAGCTATAGACTACAATGGTAAAGATGAAGAGGAGAAAAAAAAACAGGACAAGCCTTAAAGGCGCACTATGTAAGAGATAAAGATAAGATGTATACTGCAGGGATAGCACATGCTCGCAATCATTAGCCCAGTGGGTGCACAAAAGTTGAATTTTTAATCTCATTTCATTTTCAATTGTAGGTGTTCTGTCTGGCTTCAAATGTTATATAAATTATCATTATCATCTCATAAGAGAGAGAAATGGGGTTTAACATCCACTCGACACAAACTAGGTCATTTCGGGACTAACATATGGTTCAATTTTATTTCAATAATTCGCATGCGCGTAGGGGTCTTTAGCAGTGGGAGGAAACCGGAGGACCCGGAGAAAACCCACGAGGTTGGACAGGCGACCCTACTCCTTGTCACGTACAACCGGGGAATCGAAACCCTGCCAGTTGACTCAATGACAGACCCCCACAAACTCATAATAAACTCTGTAGGCCATCGAATGGCTAAGATATTAAATGGAATAGAACATCCGCGCCATTTAATAACTAAACGTTAAAATGGATAATTCTGAATTTGTTTATCTTAGTAATAGTAAATCTTGTCGGAACTTCAAAAATTCATAACCTTTCTCAGAATAAAGTAATTTGACTGAAATTTTCAATATATTCATTTCTTATTTTAAATTATTTAACTATTTTAACAAGAGCGGTCAGCTCTTTACTTAAATCTCACGTTATGCATCATTAAATTCAGAGATTATAGAAATGAAATGAAATACACTTTTCTGTACAGTTTGAGCTCGTGAAGATGGAAATACGCCATACAGTGTGCTGTAGAGGAACTGTGTACCAATGTGTACACGAGACCCCGATTTTTCGTTCCATCCGAATGACTAGTACACTGGTACTAGCCATGCCCTCCGTCCTGCACCACTAACGATTTGGGACCAGAGGAACTAAAAGTTCACAGACAATAATTGTTAAAGGGCTTCAATGCAAACTGAGAGCAACATCGAAATTGTCATGCGTGTAACTCTTCTTCCTGGGGGAATCACCTTAACTACTTTTAATATAGGCTAAACTGAATACCAACAATAGAAATCTACAATACAATAGAATTATAAGATATCCTAAACAACAATAAAACGATGTTAGTAATTTATTTATAGTTTAACTAACAAAATAAATATAGATCATAATGGATTCTAGTGACCAACTTTTTCTGGAACAAGGGAGCATTGTGAAATTTCAGTTTAGAACTTATAAGGCGGTAGTTGGGGATTAATACAATCGTTTTATATGTCCCACGGAACTAAAGTCTAAGAGATCAACTCTGTTATAATAATGAAAAGTTATATTGTAGATGTTAACCACCTATGGCGTTGGTCCGTGATTAATTCTGAATGCTTTGTTTCACTTATATCTGTATCATTAAAATTTTATTCAAATTATCACGTTCTATAAACCAAAATCTGACCGCATCAATATATAACAATGTAGGTAATATTTAGGTTAAACTTTTCAATCAAGCAGAATGACCAAGTTTTGTCCGAGAGAGGAATCAGCATCATATATAACATACCATTGTTTTAGTGTTGATTCTAAACATCTTGCAGAATAACCGTTCCAATCAAGCCTGATGACCAAGTTTCATCTGAGAGATGGACCAGCAACGTACCACTTTTCTAGTTTTATTTCTAAACCTCTCGACAACTTTTCATAAATAAATTATCACTGACTATAAATACCAATACCTCCAAGAATGGGGTTTGGGATGTATCCACCCTTTCCAAACGTAGCATTATTGTAGTTTTATTATTTTTAAACCTCTCGACAACTTTTCATAAATAAATTATCACGGACTATAAATAATAATACCTTCGAGGAAGAGCGGTTTGGGATAAATCCACTCTTTCCAAATGTAGCATTATTCTAGTTTTATATCTAAACTTAGTCTTGACAACTTTTCATAAATAAATTATCCCCGACTATAAATAATAATACATTTTAGATAGAGGTTTGGGATATATCACTCTTTCCAAATGTTTGAAATTTCTACCTAAATGAATTTATTAAATACACGAATTTGTTATGATACTCGAGTTCCATCTATAACCTATCTGTGTATCTATAAATTATTAATGACATTCTCCCGGTTTATTAACATTTATTTAAGGGAACTTTTTATATACCTGAATAGGCTTTCATCAGCTTTGATACTGATTCTGTATTCATACGTAAACCATTTTAGGTTAGATATATAACAACCACAAGGATTCAATTTGATCACAGTACTGTACGGACTTGGCCATCATAATCTGAACAGTTTTGTACGGACATGACCATCAGAATCTAACCAGTCTTGTAAGGACATGAACATCAGAATCTAACCAATCTTGTTAGGACATGGCCATCATAATCTAACCAGTCTTGGATGGACATGGCCATCATAATCTAACCAGTCTTGAATGGACAGGGCCATCATAATCTAACCAGTCTTGAATGAACATGGCCATCATAATCTAACTAGTCTTGGATGGACATGACCCTCATAATCTAACCAGTCTTGAATGGACATGGTTTTCAGAATCGGACCAGTCTTGAATGGACATGGCCATCATAATCTAACCAGTCTTGAATGGACATGACCATCATAATCTAACCAGTCTTGAATGGACATGGTTTTCAGAATCGGACCAGTCTTGAATGGACATGGTTTTCAGAATCGGACCAGTCTTGTACGGTCATGGCCACCAGAATCTAACTAGTCTTGGATGGATATGGTTATCATAATCTAACCAGTCTTGAATGGACATGACCATCAGAATCTGACCAGTCTTGAATGGACATGGCCATCAGAATCTGACCAGTCTTGCAAGGAAATCAAATTATCCAAGTTTCCATAGTAAATTTATTTTAAACCCTTGATTTCACAAGGGGATGTCCCTATATCATGCTTGTTTATCCCATCACGGCTTGCATGTTACCACTAAACCTTTCATAAGATATCATCACATATGTTTTTATTCAAATAAATGTTTTCGTAAAAAGGTTGCCAAGGTCAGTTACCATTTTTTTCATAGTGACCAAGTTTTCTGGATTGACCACAATATCTGTTGTTCGACCAGCTTGACGAGGAACAAGTTTATAAACGTCTACCATGGCGCAACTGGCTTTGCCGTTGGTATATGACAGCGATGTACCATCATTCAAACGTTACTGCTGCCCACTGACCTTGACATGGCGGCCATATTAATATTGTCCCTTGTCCTTACCCTGATTGTCAGATAACTCTTGATGTCCTTACCATAATAATAACATTGGCTTATGTCCTTACTATTGCAGTCACGGTACTATAGGCCCTGTTAGCTTTATCCTATCCATGGTAGTCAAGCTACTACTTGCTGTTTTCCTTACTATGACTTCATGTTACTATTGGCCCCTGTCCCTTCCATGGTAGTTACGTTACTATTGACCCTTATCCTATCCATGGTAGTCAAGCTACTACCTGCTGGTTTCCTTACTATGACATTATGTTACTATTAGTCCTTGTCCCTTCCATGGTAGTTACCTT